CCAGTCTGTGACTAGGGGCTTCCAGATTTCACAGTCCTGCCCCCGTCGCCACTCGCTGATCGCCATGGGGCTTTGGTTGGTTTGTTTTTATTTTCTTTGGAAGACGCCTGTGCGTGGGTTTTTTTAATGTGTGGAGGTCAGTGCACAACTGATCAACACACAGACTTCACAGAGTGAGGTTCCACTGGTGATGTAGTTTAACACAATGACCGTGGCTTCTCAGTCTGTTGCAGCCTTCTTCCGCCTTCGCAGCCGTTGTAACATGTACCATGTTATCCTCCGCCTGCTCCGCCGTTGAGGTCTTTGGGTCTTCGGGCTGTGCTTGGTCTGGAACCTCCCCCGCGGCCACTCCTGGGAGTGCACGACTCCAGTTGTTGTGCCTACAGGTTCATTGGAACGCGCAAGCCCCCTCACCACGACAAGGTGACAGTCCATCGAGGGGGGGGGGACTACCTAGGATAGGTTAGTCAGAAACTCATTACTATTTCTCTGAAGTAGAGTGAGGGATTTTTGTTACTAGCAGCTAGATCTGTTTGATTAGCTCTGTATGTAACTAAGTGAAGAAACTTATTCTAGCAACCATCAAGCTATAGTACTTTTGTAACAAGTCAAGCGTTTTGTGCCTCTCAGAAGTAGTTAGTTGTCTGTTTTTATAAATATTTTTATATTCAACTTTCAAATAGGTCTCTCTCGTTTCTCAATCTATCAGTAATCCTTTGTGATAATTCCAGTAACTTTGACATCCAGATCCTACAGAAAGGTCTCTTATCCAAACAGTCATTTTGGGAGCTAAGGGAAGAGCTGTGTGGGCAGAAGTGAGAAAAATTTACCTCAAAAACTCATTTTAAAAATCCTAAGGCAGCTTGGGTTGGTGGCAGCATTAAACCAAAAGAAGACTGAAAACAAGTAGTGTTCACTCTACCATTACACATATAATCCTTTACAGTGGTGTTCAGCTGCGTGATATATATTGATATTTGATGTTAGATTATATGGTGATCCTTTATACCGGTGGGATTTATATGATTTATAATAGTATATATCGTCATACTTCTTTATAGGCATCCTTTCAGATATTTATCCATGGCGGTTATATCTCCTCTCACCCTTCTCTTCTGCAGGTTAAACATACCCAGTAGGCTTGGGTAACAACGAAAAAATTTGTTTCTAAACTCGTTTCATTTTTTGGGGTCCATCGCGTTTTTTTTTTAAAGAATTCTGAAATTTTCCTTTAAAAAATTTCGAAATTTACGAAATTTCGTATAATTACAAATCGATTCGTTAATGGCGGATGCGATTGTGCAATATGCTAAAAAACCCTCCAAATGGGACAGGGGGAACTTCTGAAGCTTCCCTCTCCCTCTGTTGTTGACTGTTGGTGTGATAAAACAAACAACAACTATAAAACTTGCACCAGACATGCGAAAATAATTACGAAATAATTATGAAATAATAACGAAATAATTACGAAATAAATTGAAAAAATTGTTTCGAATCTAATTTACTCCTCACACTATTCCTGCATGGCTCAATATTGGATCGTAAGCTAATTTAAATACGAATTAATAATGAATTACGAAATTAACGAACGAAACCGCCCAAGCCTAATACCCAGCTCTTTAAGCAGCTCATCAGAGGGCATGGTTTCCAGACCTTTGATCATTTGTTGTTCTCCTCTGGGCACACTCCAGTTTGTCAATATGACATATATAGCAAATCGAGGCAGCAGGAGCAAACAAACACAACAAAACACAAAAGAGGGGATGGAAGAACAAAGTCGTCTTTACTTTTTTACAAAATCGGGTCAGTGAGAGAGGTAAGCAAACAGTCCGCAGAAGGCTATTCCAGAGCTTTGAGGCTATAGTTGATAAAGTCTCACTTTCAACACAAAATGAACCTACCACTCATTGAGGAACATGTAGCAAAATAGTGAGAAACCCCAAGATTGCCTGGAGCATCTATCTCTTTGTAGGTCAGTGGTTCTCAACCTGGGGCCCCCAGATGTTTTTGGCCTACAACTCCCAGAAATCCCAGCCAGTTTACCAGCTGTTAGGATTTCTGGGAGATGAAGGCCAAAAACATCTGGGGACCCAAGGTTGAGAACCGCTGTTGTAGGTACTGGTTACAGCAAAGTTATAGATCTCTTGGGATTTCCTTTATGGCAGAATTTCTTGGTTGCTATGGAGGAATAGGGTTTTTTTATGTGCCAGGGACCAGCATCATCTTTGTGATCTTTGGGTAATATGTTTATTTTCTTTCCTCGTGACTTGCCAGAGACTGGCACCCAATAGATTCAAGACTGGCAGGAGTCACCACTTTGAATAGAACTGCTTTGGAGTATTTCTGTTGTATGTGGCAATAGTGTTGAGTCTCAAATGAATCATGAGCATACATTGAGAAAACCAATGGAAATAAATGGGATCGATATTACTGCAATTCAGCACGTAATAGTCAATGCATAGCTGTCGCACCCCCTTTTTTGGATCCAAAATTTGGCTTCCAGCCTTTCCTCACAAAATAGTTGCATGTAATTTACACAGTTGTTTTGGGATCAGATTCCCCCTTCCTTCCTTCTCCAAAGGGAAGGAAGTTTACAAAATATGAAATGGATGTCTTTGGAGCTTGGATCTCCCCTCCCCTTTCCTCCTCCCTTTAAGGCAAGATAGTTTAAAAAATTCCAAACAGAAAAGGAGCTGTTTGTTTGGAGCTGGAATCATCCCTTCTCCTTCTGTCTCGAAGGTTAGGTTGTTACTTTTATAAAAAAGGTTGTTACTTTTATAAAAAATCAACCAGAAATCAGAGAATCAAAGGCAGACATTTCTCATCACGTAATAGTCGCATCACTCGTTTTTGGCCAAAAAAGGGATAAAAAGTATGATTATTATATGATAAAACATGGTAACTATACTTTGATTATACCATACTGAGTCTGGTGGTCTGTTCTGACAAGCTGTCAGACACAGGTTTCTTCTGTAACTGGCCTGTCTCCTTGTGAAAGTTTACAATGTAGTCCAGATTCATTATCGTCGAATAGTAATCCCATGTTTTCTGACTGTTTCTTTAATGGAATAAAAAGGAAAAGGCCGGTAATAAATTTATTATTATTTTAATTGTTATTATTATCATATTGTTTTATATTTTGCTTTAAAATAAGGAAGAAAAGAGTATAGTTGTTAAGTTACAATTTGCTTTTGCGTTGTTAATTTTTGCTTTTGGGTTGGTAATTTTTGTTATTATGTGTGTATTGTTGTTATGTTCAGCCATTGAATGTTTGGCTTTCATGATTGGAATCTGCCCTGAGTCCTTTTGGGAGATTGCAGATGGTAATTTTGTCAGCGCCGATTGTGTTTAAGTGCAGGCCAAGGTCTTTAGGCACCGCACCCAGTGTGCCGATCACCACTGGGACCACCTTTACTGGTTTGTGCCAGAGTCTTTGCAGTTCGATCTTTAAATCCTCATATTATGTCAGCTTTTCCAGTTGTTTCTCTGCAATCCTGCTGTCACCTGGGATTGCAACATCAACGATCCACACGATTGTGAGGTCAGGAGTATTATTATTATTATTATTATTATTATTATTATTATTGTGCCTTTGCACTGATCGTTCTGGGAACCTTTACCTGGCAGTGACCAATGTCAGTCACCAATCCATTCGTTCTATCCTGACCTTCCTCCAAGGAATTGAAAAACAGTTTATCTGACCTCTTTCTCATATAAGCAATCTTTTGAAACAGCTACTTGCATCAGGAAGAAATCATAATGTTCACAAGGATTTCCCCAAAGCACATCCAAACTCCACCAAAGGAATTTTCCTTCAGACCACAATGGGGATAGCAATAGAGAGATAATGTTCTCTTCTACACATACTGCTCTCTTAATAACTATTACCTGCTCCATCTGATACAATTGGTATTTTATATTTAGTCTGCCTATAAATAAAATGCAAAGATGCATATTGCACCATGTCTCATTTGGCCCTGAGTGGGTAATGTATTAAGTCAAGTCTGCCCAAAGGAAGTTACAAGAATAGAGGCAATGTATCTTTGGATAGTAAATGTCAAATAACAATATCTTGTTTTTTGATGCCTTGGAACCAAGGGGGGGAGGGGGGGGGTCAGAATTCGGATGTCTGCCATTCCATGTGGCCCTGTATCCTATCCATTTCATCATACTGTTGGATGTCTAAAGTTTAAAGCAACTACTACAATAAGAGAAAGGAAGGGAAATGTTTCTGCCCGTTACAGTTCTTGGTTACATAAAACTACTGCATTGTAATACGTTCAGAGGCTGGGAAAGCTGCCTTTTGAACCATAGTGCCCAAAATCTCCCAGGCAAACTGACCTTTAGGCATGCTGAGTGAGGGAGATGTATTCCAAAAGATAATCTGTTCCAAGTTATGATTAAATACCGGGGGCAAGAGACATTTTAAATAGCAAGTGTAGAGAGGAGGCAGACCATAACCTTATGCTCATGGAGTTATGCCAGTGGTTCTCAACCTTCCTAATGCCACGAACCCTTAATACGCTTCCTCATGTTATGGTGACCCCCAACCATAAAATTAGTTTCATTGTTACTTCATAACTATCATTTTGCTGCTGTTATGAATAGTAATGTAAATATCTGATATGCAGGATGTATTTTCATACACTGGACCAAATTTGGCACAAAGACCCAATACACCCAAATTTTAATACTGGTGGGATTGGAGGAGGGAATTGATTTTGTCCTGTGGGAGTTGTAGTTGCTGGGATTTATAGTTAACCTACAATCAAAGAGCATTCTGAACTCCACCAATGATGGAATTGAATCAAACTTGGCACACAGAACTCCCATGACCAAGAGATAAAATACAGGAAGGGTTTGGTGGGCATTGACCTTGAGTTTTGGGAGTTGTAGTTCACCTACATCCAGAGAGCACTGTGGACTCAAACAATGATGGATCTGGACCAAACTTGGCACGAATTCTCAATATGCCCAAATGTAAACACTAGTGGGTTTGGGGAAAATAGACCTTGACATTTGGGAGTTGTAGTTGCTGGGATTTATAGTTCACCTACAATCAAAGAGCATTCTGAACCCTGCCAACGATTGAATTGGGCCAAACTTCCCACACAGAACCTCCATGACCAACAGAAAATACTGTGTTTTCTTGTGGTCTTTGGTGACCCCTCTGACACCCCCTCGCGACCCCTCCAGGGGTCCCGACCCCCAGGTTGAGAAACACTGGGTTATGCAGTGGTAGTGAAATGCCTATTTGTTAGTGAGCTGCAACATTGTGCAACGGAATGCACAGGCACATTTGTATGTGCAACTGTGGAAAATAAGCATCCAGGGAGAACAGTGTACAACGGGCATACTATACAACTCTGAATGCGGCTATTCTGCACTGGACCAAAAGTCCAACCACTTCCATGGGGGAGCTTCCTCAGGCATAAGACACCAACAGAGTTCTAACCAATATGCTTGGATTTGGATTTTTGTTCAAGGCCAAGGCCAGTTAAGCACATGTACAAGAAGCCTCTCTTTCAGCATAAATCCTGAGTCGGTAAAATGGGACTACAGTTGAGTCTCGTTTAGCCAACCTTTGCTCATCCAACATTCTGTATTATCCAACGCAGCCTGCCTCCTGCCTGGATCCACAGCTGTTTCAATACACTGCGATGTTTTGGTGCTTAAATTCATAAATACAGTGATTACTACATAAAGTTACCATGTATTGAACTGCTTTTTCTGTTGATTTGTTGTAAAACATGATGTTTTGGTGCTTAATTTATAAAATCATAATGTAATTTGACGTTTAATAGGCTTTGACTTAATCCCTCCTTATTATCTAACATTTTCGCTTATCCGACGTTCTGCCGGCCCGTTTAAGCAAGACTCTACTGTAATTCTGATGCATCTTTTGAACAAGAAAACAAGCTAAAAGTCTAAATCTAAATGCATCCACACTTCTTTCCAAAGCTACAAAAACAGTCTTATTATTATTACTACTGTACAGTTCTCAACAAGATGTCTGTGAACACTTTGTCTCATTTCTTCTGTTCTAAGGCATGCAAGACACCCTAATGAACCTAAGAGCTAGGTCTGGCCATACAACATGTGTCTATTCTATGAGCAGGTTTGCTTTCGAGAGGCCTAGATTCCCTAAAGTTGCTTTTGTTTTATATTGGTGGTGGTGCTAGGGAATCAAAAATGCAAAGGTAAACATGTGTAGGCAAACAATCACATTTTTTCTGTAAACAAAACCCCAATGCTCAACCTCAACCCATTCTAGCCCTATTCAAAGTAGAAAAAAAAAAGGAAAAGTATTGTTAAGTAGAAGGGTGTCTAAATTGTTATTGTCCTTTTCTTCAGCTTGAAGAATTCCTTGAGTAGCATACAGGGGTCAATGTCTCCCTTTAAGATATCCTGTTGGAAGAAGTCTGATAGTCATCTGTTGAGTTTTTCAGTACGTGCAGCTGTGCTAAGGGAAGGGTACTGGTCTGTTCACGAACCACAGTCTCATACGGAGGAGCAGCCTCCATTGGGAAGGATGACGACAAGGAAATGGAAGGGATGGGCTGCGACAAGTCTTGAAATCTGAGCAAATGCCCAGCATCCCATTCTGTAGCAGTTCCAGGAGCCATCTCTCCTCCTCCTCCGTTGGGGGTCATGTCATTCTGTTGACAAGGGTCTATCAGGGAATAAGGTGGAGGATCGTCTGTAGGAATGTAAATCTGGGTTGCCTCTGGTCCTACACACTCATCATAGCTGAAACAAAGAAAACACACAGCATTTTTGCTTTGTCCCCACAATTCCTCAGAACCAGTGGTTCCCAACTTTTTTTTACAAGGAACCATGTGACCAGGGACCACTTTAACCAGGGACCACTCTACAACATTAGTACCAAAAGGGTTACGGAACAGTTTTTGGTCAACTTTAGATTCGGTTTGGTTATTTGGGGTGCTGATTCAGAAATTTGCATTGGATAGACCATACCAGCTCTAGTTTCTGATACAGAACATATGCATCCTGTTGTAGTAGAGCCTGTAAGTAACGTTGCAAGCAGTAGTATGGGTGCCAGAAGGGGAAAAAGGGGTACTCATGAGCAGGAATCAGATGAGGAACAACAGAGGAAAAGGATCCGGGATATACTTATGGCACCTACAGATGAGGACTCATTTGAGGGGTTCTCTGGGGACGAAGGGTCAATGAGTGAAGGAGAAGAAGGAGATACAATGGATGGGAATAGGGGAACAAAGAGGGTTACTCGGGAGCAGGAATTGGATGAGGAGCGACAGAGGAAGAGGATCCGGGATATACTTGCAGCACCTACAGAAGAGGAATCATTTGAGGATTTCTCTGGGGATGATGGGTCACAGAGTGGGGAAAATGGGGATGACACTGTGGATTGGACTAAGGTAAAGGAAGTGCAAGCTGTTTGTGCAGAGCGAAATAAGCCTCCCACAGATTGGAAAAACATCAGGGCATTGCCTGGGCAACATCTTTGAAGACGGCCAATTCTCTCATACCAGAAACGACTTGCAGTTTCTCAAGTTGCTCCTAACACGAAAAAAAAACCACAAAAAAACCCAGAGGTGCCTTAGTCACCTCCAGATTGGATTACTGTAATGCACTCTACGTGGGGCTGCCCTTGAAAACGGCTCGGAAATTTCAATTGGTACAACGGGCGGCAGCCAGGTTACTGTAACTGGTGCTTCTTACAGAGAGCGGTCAACCCTCCTGTTTAGGGAGCTCCACTGGCTGCCATTCATTTTCCGGTCCCAATTCAAGGTGCAGGTTCTTACCTACAAAGCCCTGAACGGTTTGGGACCCGCCTACCTGCGTGACCGCATTTCTGTGTACGAACCCACACAATCTCTTCAATCATCTGGAAAGGCACTGCTCACGCTCCCACCTCCTTCGCAGGTGCGATTGGTGGGGACGAAGGAGAGGGCCTTCTCGGTGGTGGCCCCCCGACTCTGGAACTCACTTCCCAGGGACATCAGACATGCCCCAACTCTGGCAGTCTTTAGAAGGAGCCTGAAAATGTGTACCTTTCCAGAATAAGGAAAACTCTCAGCAATATGCCCTCAAAATGAACTTTACCACTGATTTAGGACTGACTGCATTCCCTCAATTCTCTCTGAAAATCCTATCTCAGTTATATCCTACCTTGTTCACGTCAGTATTTTTTTTTAAAATTTTAATCTATTACATTTGGCCCGGCCATTGGTTTTAAATGCTTGTATGTCACTGTTGATTGTTTATAAAGTATTATTATTATTATTATTATTATTATTATTATTATTATTACTATTATTATTATTATTATTATAAACAGAGGCAGTGCCCTTTTTGGAGGGCTTCTGTTCAGACACACTCTTACTTGGATGGTCTGCCCTCTCCAAGCTTGGTGTTTAAACCATAATATGGCTACAGCTACATATAGCTGCATATAGTTCCCTGAGCAAGGCATACAGAGGCGAGGCGAAAAGCAGAGACAAGCAGGGGTATTTGTGGGGGTGTTTGGAGTGGGAGGCCAGACTTCTGTTCCATTCCCAACATAATCTGATAAAAATGTGTGGTGATGGAGCTCATGATGGGAACAAGAGGGAGGAGAGGGCTAGGGAGTGCTAACATGCAAGGTCAATTTCCCACCTGAAGGCTTTCGGATCATGATGTAATGTTTTAACTATTGAGCCAATTCCTGAAAAGACCAGGAAGGTTGCAACAGAAAGTAGTTGTGAACCAATGAAATTATATGTATGTAAATCTTAAAATGCAAATATTTTGTGAAGTGCATGCCTTGTGGCAAACCTTTAGTCCTGGCAACAAAAGTGTGTAGGTTGCTGTACCACCTTTTCAAGAAATATATTGTAAAGTGAGACTGGTTTTTGAGAGACGGGTTAGGCTTGCAACTGATATTGTTAATTTATGACAACCCTATGAATTTCATAGGGTTTTTTTTAAGGCAGGGAATGTCTTATAATTTATAATATCACAATGGACTACCACCTCACCCACTTCATAGGAAATCTGCTATAAAGCAGAAGCTTTTTTGTTGAGTTCCAGGGCCAGAGAAGCAGATTGCGAAAACAGAAGAACGGCTTCCCTCAGGGAAGCGTGCTTGCTCCATCCATGTTCAACATTTACACAAATGACCAGCCACTGCCAGAAGGGACAGAGAGTTTCATCTATGCTGACGATCATGCCATCACTGCCCAAGCAGGAAGCATTGAAATAGTTGAACAGAATCTCTCCAAAGCTTTAGGTGCTCTTACTGTCTATTCTAATCAAGAACTTTGGCCCAAAAGCAAGGTGCTGGCTGCTGGAGCCGGCACTGCATCCTGTCAGATCCCCAAAATCTGGAGGAAAGCAAGAGTCAAAATCATCTTGAAGCCAGGCAAAGACCGTAACGATCCAAAAAGCTATAGACCAATCTTCCTGTTGTGCCACCTCTACAAAGTTCTGGAGAGACTTATTTTTCATAGAATTATGGAACAAATAGGCCCCTGTCTGATTCCACAGCAAGCTGGCTTCAGGAAAGGCAAAAGCTGAACATCGCAAATGCTGAACCTGACTCAGCACGTAGAAGATGGCTTTGAAAGGCAGCAGATCACAGGAGCTGTCTTCATAGACCTATCAGCGGCTTATGATACTGGAAACCACTGCCTCCTCCTGAGAAAAATGTATAATATCACAAAGGACTACCACCTCAACCGCCTCATAGGAAACCTGCTACAAAACAGGAGCTTTTTTGTTGAATTCCAGGGCCAGAGAAGCAGATGGCGGAAACAGAAGAACGGCCTGCCTCAGGGGAGCGTGCTTGCTCCATCCATGTTCAACATTTACACAAATGACCAGCCACTGCCAGAAGGGACAGAGAGCTTCATCTATGCTGATGATCGTGCCATTACCGCTCAAGCAGGGAGCTTTGAAATGGTTGAACAGAAGCTCTCTGAAGCTCTAGGTGCTCTTACTGCCTATTACAGGGAAAACCAGCTGATCCCTAATCCATCTAAAACACAGACATGTGCTTTTCACCTTCAGAACAGACAAGCATCTCAAGATCTGAGAAGCACTAAACGGTTCCGGCCCAAGCTACCTATCCGACCGCATCTCTGCCTATGAACCCACCAGGACTTTGAGATCTTCCGGGGAGGCCCTGCTCTCGATCCCGCCTGCTTCTCAAGCATGTCTGGCGGGGACGAGAGATAGGGCCTTCTCGGTGGTGGCCCCTAGGCTGTGGAACGCCCTTCCTACCGACATTAGATTAGCACCATCTCTAATGGTATTCCGCAAAAAAGTGAAGACCTGGCTGTTTGAGCAGGCGTTCGAATAATTAGTGCAATGATTGATTAATGAACACTGGAATGGATCAATGGATGACGAATTTGGATCATGTTTTTGATGATGAGACGATAGTGAATGGCTACTGTAGTAATCGTTAATTGTTTTGTTATTAATTGTGTAATGGATTAGGCTGTTAACTGTTTTTATAGTGTACACTGAATTTCTGCTGTCTCTTATTGTTGTGAACCTCCGTGAGTCACCTTCGGGCTGAGAACAGCGGTATATAAGCAAAATAAATAAATAAAGTAAATAAATATTACATGGGAAGGAAGTTGTAGTTCACCCTGCATCAAGTCAGAACACTGTGACCCCCACTGACAATGGATCCGGACCACATGTGGCACACACGACCCCCATGACCTAAGAAAAAATACTGGAGAGGTTTCGGCGGGGGGCGGAAATTCACCTTGATTTATAGGCATTGTAGGTACTGGGATTTACAGTTCACTTGTAATCAAAGAGCACTCTGGACCCCACCAATGATGGCCCTGGACATAACTTGGCACACAGAACCACCATGACAAACTGAAAATACTGGAAGGGTTTGGAGGTGGGGGGAACTGACCTTCATTTCTGGAAGTTGTAGTTCACTTATATCCAGAGACACTGTGACTACCACAGATGATGGATTTGGACCAAACTTGGCACACAGAACACCTACGACCAACTGAACCTACTGGAAGGATTTAAGTGGACTGATCCACCACGGTGGGAGCTGTAGTTTGTCTTGCAGCCAGAGATCACACTGAATCCCACCAACTATGCATCTAGAGCAAACTTGCCAATCATGACAAACTTTAACTAGTGATGGAGTTTCGGGGGGTTAACCTGGCATGTTGTGAATTGTAGTTCACCCACAAGCCTATGCATTTTGTAAAATATAATAAATTAGTTTTTCAAATAACCCGGGCAACGCCGGATACCCAGGCTAATGCTAAAATAAAAGTCAGTCCTTCTTAAAGGGGTGCTACATTTCTTCACCCTTCCCTCTCCCTTCCTCTTTTCTAAGCTGCAAGAAACTAACACAGATACTTTTTTGAAAATTAGTTCAACCGCAGATGCAGGGCAACCCAATACCTGCTTCACCTAAACACATTTTATTTTGCGCCTGTCATTTTTTGAATGCCTCTCACGTCAGCTCAATTTGATGCGCTCACACAGATCTTGGGTCCACTAGAAAGCCATTAATTCCCTTAAAGCAACATTTACGGATACTATTACCATCTAGTTAGGGCTGTCAAGATAATTTGGTCACCATCTGAGGGCCCAGCAAGGATGGCAGACCCAGGATTTTGAAAAAACAAAAACAAGGACAATCTAAGAGAGAGGGCTTTGCAATTTTCTTAAATCTAGTGTGAGAACCGATTAGAGATGCATCTAGAGAGATAATCAAATTGAGTCCTAAATGAGATTTCTTGCAGCTTGCACATGGAAGCAATTAAGTGATTAGCACCCCGAAGGCAACATTTATAAATTAATTTCCCAATTAGAATTTTATATAAATAGTACTTCTGCTCTGGACACCCTTCAGAACGGAAAGAAAAAACCACAGAAGAAAAATGGGATTTTGTGCCATGGATACCGCCTGCGGAGTACTGAACGTTGTGCAAGACCTTGCAAAGTTAACCCCTTGATGCTAAACTAAGGCCCACATGCAGACCTCCAAGGGCATTTACCCAGCTCCCACCCTAAAATTTAGACTGAGGGCCACCTTAAGTCTCAAACGACTTGAAGTCACACAATAACAACAATCCTAATAGATCAGTGGTTCTCAACCTTCCTAATGCCGCGACCCCTGAATACAGTTCCTCATGTTGTGGTGACCCCCAACCATAACCCTAACATTATGAATCGCCATGTAAATAATGATCTGCAGGATGTATTTTCATTCACTGGAGCAAATTTGGCACAAATACCCGGTATGCCCAAATTTGAATACTGGTGGGGTTGGCAGGGAAATTTGCTCCAGTCATTTGGGAGTTGTAGTTGCGGGGATTTATAGTTAACATGTAAACAAAGAGCATTCTGAATCCCACCAACAATGGAATTGAACCAAAGTTGGTACAGAGAACTCCCATGATCAACAGAAAATACTGGAAGGGTTTGGTGGGCATTGACCTTGAGTTTGGGAGTTGTAGTTCGCCTACATCCAGAGAGCACTGTGGGCTCAAATGGATCTGGACCAAACTTTGCATGGATACTCAATATGCCCAAATGTGAACACTGATGGGGTTTGGGGAAAATAGACTTTGACATTTGGGAGTTGTAGATACTGGGATTTATAGTTCACCTACTGTTAAAATCATGGCTGCCGAGCGTTGGACTAGTTGGAGCTTCCGGGCCGTCTTCAAGGGCAACCCCACGTAGAGAGCGTTGCAGTAGTCTAGGCGGGATGTAACCAGAGCGTGGACTACCGTGGCCAAGTCAGACTTCCCAAGGTACGGGCGCAGCTGGCGCACAAGCTTTAACTGTGCAAATGCTCCCCTGGTCACCGCCGAAACCTGGGGTTCCAGGCTCAGCGATGAGTCCAGGATCACACCCAAGCTGCGAACCTGCGTCTTCAGGGGGAGTGCGACCCCGTCCAACACAGGCTGTAACCCTATACCCTGTTCGGCCTTGCGACTAACCAGGAGTACCTCTGTCTTGTCTGGATTCAGTTTCAATTTGTTCGCCCTCATCCAGACCGTCACAGCGGCCAAGCACCGGTTCAGGACCTGGACAGCCTCCTTAGTAGGAGGTGGAAAGGAGTGACAGAGTTGGACATCAATCAATCAAGGAGTGTTCTGAACCCCACCAATGATAGAATTGGGCCAAACTTCCCACACAGAACCCCCATGACCAACAGAAAATACTGTGTTTTCTGATGGTCTTTGGTGACCCCTCTGACACCCCTTCGCGACCCCCTCAGGGGTCCCGACTCCCAGGTTGAGAAATACTGTAATAGATTATTGCCGTCCCGAGTCCCTCGGCATCCCGAGTCCCTCTGCGGAGGTCAACATAGGACGGGATAAAAATGTCCGAAATAAATAAATAAATTCATTACTACACAAACATCTTAGCTTAGATGGCTCATAAATCATTTGCTTCCCAGCTGTGATGTAAACACAAGAATATATTCAGAAGGCCTTTACCGTGGAGGAGAGTCAGGATGTGTGATGTTGACCTGAGATAGCATCTCCATGTAAGAGCTGAAATAAAATGCTGGGGGGAATTCCTCAATGCAGCCGGGCCTCAGTTCTCCAATTGAGAAGCAATCTGGAGCTGGAGGAAAGCAATAGAGAACAGTCCTTATCAGATGAGTTGTGCGAGTGGGCTTATTAACAAAAGACCCTCCCCATGAGTGTATAGCTGAGTAACTTAATAGTAGCAGTGCGACCCAGCCCAAAATGATAAAAAGGACAAAAACACACAGACCAATGTTTTCTCTTCCACAGGAGGCTTTTCTTTGTATAGGCATGGGCAATCCATGGTTCTAAAGTACTTACAAAACTAGAGGGTGCTGGTACTTTGCTTCTAAAGTGTTGCTAAAGGTGGTGAAAATTTCAGAATTTTTTTATAAATTGCAGTTCCTAATTGTCATAAAAATTGCCAACAACGAAATAATAATGAAGTTTTGAAAGTTTTGTTAGAGTTCTGAAATTTTCACCACTAGAACTTTAGTAACACATTAGAAGCAAAGTACCACTGCCCTCTTGTTTTGCAAGTACTTTAGAACCATGGTCTCGGCAGTGGTCAGGGGAACTTTCGCACAATTAAAGCTTGTGCGCCAGCTGCGCTCGTACCTTGGGAAGTCTGACTTGGCCACGGTAGTCCACGCTCTGGTTACATTCCGTTTAGACTACTGCAACGCTCTCTACGTGGGGTTGCCTCTGAAGACTGCCCGGAAGCTTCAATTAGTCCAACGAGCGGCAGCCAGATTGCTAACAGGAGCAGGGTACAGAGGCCATACGACCCCTCTGTTATGCCAGCTCCATTGGCTGCCGATTAGCTTCTGAGCACAATTCAAAGTGCTGGTTTTGACCTATAAAGCCCTAAACGACTCCGGCCCAGTCTATCCATCCGAACGGATTCTCCCCTATGAACCATCAAAGTTATTAAGATCTTCCGGAGGGGCCCTGCTCTCGGTCCCACCACCCTCGCAGTCGCGCTTGGTGAGGACGAGAGACAAGGCCTTCTTGGTGGTGGCTCCCCGGCTCTGGAACTCCCTTCCACTGGAGATCCGATCTGCCCCCTCCCTCCTGACTTTCAGGAAATTACTAAAGACCTGGCTCTGGAATGTGGCTTTTGAGGACTGAATCTTTGATGAACTGTGACTATGACTACGACTGTGATTGTATTGACGTTCTGGCCTGGGTAATTGTAATGATGATGTTTTATTGTATTTTATTGTGTTGTTTTAATCCTTAATGATGTTGCACTCGGTTGTATTTGTATATTTTGTAATTGCATATATGCTGTAAACCGACCTAAGTCCCTCGGTTGAGGTGAGAAGGCCGGTATAGAAAACTTCCAAATAAATAAATAATAAATAAATGGATTGCCTGTGCCTAGTAAAATAATATAGTTGCACTATTTTCAAAAACAAGGTTTCCACAACACAAATAAAGTTCTTTATACTTCCTTCTTTGCTTCCATGCTGGGATTCTTCCTCACACAGATAAACAGTTTGGCTCTCACAGAGCTTCCTCTCAGAGTGAAATTACACAGGAGCATCACATAGTAGCTTTACACACAGCTTTACATATGAGGCCTTCAACCTGGGGCTTCTTTCACTGAAGCTTCTCACACCAGGCCTTCTCACACTCTGAGCCTTCTCACAGAGTAAGGCCTACCTCACATTGTGAGGCCTTCTCTCACAGACTGAGACCTTTCTCCCACTGAGGTTTACCTCAGATTGACTGCTACTAAGCTTCGGGCACACTGCTTATATAGAACTGCAACTTTTTTGAGTCATTGCATTCATTTAATCCTTTCAACGCTTGACTTACATTTTTGTAATTAAAAATACCTAGTAAATTTTAATAGTTTTATTTATTTTTATTGGTTTTATTTCTAAAATGAGTGCCACACACTCCTTTTTAACCAAGTCCTTCTATAGCAATTATGGGATATGTTATGAAATAAGTTTAAAAAAAACACACAATTTAAGTAAATTTTCTCTGTTTAGTTCCATTTGACACAGCAGTTTGAGTTTTAGAGTATGTGCCAGGGCTTCCAATTCTCACTTGGTCATGGAAACTCAGAGGAAGACAATGGCAACCCTTTTCTGAACAAATCTAGCCAAGAAAATCCTGGGGTAGTTGATGCCAAGTTGTTGCTATTTGTAGTGATTCTTACCTAGTAGGCTGAAAAGGAAGCCTGGATAACAGTAGGGCAAACCTCTATTTTGAGAGTGTATGCCAGGGAAGCAGCCATCTTGAGAGAGAATAGCTAGAAGATGGGAGTAGTTTGGGGTCTTCTGGGATTGGCTAGAGCAGATGGGAGGAGCCAAGTCTTAGGAGGGAAAAAGATTCCAACTTCTGTGGAGAGGAGAATTGGGAGCTGGTGGGAGAAGACGTGTTTTGGGAAACTGAGTTTTCAGAGAGAAAGTGTCTGTGTCAGGCAGGGCTGATTAGCTGACAGGAAAGGTCTGACAGTGACTTGATTTCTTGTGGGAGATAGCACAAGGGATTAGCTCTCCAGACTGAGTTAGTTAGTGGTAAGAACTCTGGGAGAGTTAGCTGATAACTCAGGGGACTGCCTAGGATAGGTTAGTCAGGAACTCATTGCTATTTCTCTGAAGTAGAGTGAGGGATTTTTGTAACCAGCAGCTATATCTGTTTTATTAGCTCTGTATGTAACTAAGTGAAGAAACTTATTCAAGCAACCATCAAGCTATTGTACTTTTGTAACAAGTCAAGTGTTTTGTGCCTCTCAGAAGAAGTTAGTTGTCTGTTGTTTTTATAAATAAATCTTCTATTTAACTTTCAAAAAGGTCTCTATCGTTCCTCAATCTATCAGCAATCCTTTGTGATAATTCTAGCCTCTTTAACATCCGAATACCACAGAAAGGTCTCTTATTCAAACAGTTATTTTGGGAGCTAAGGGGAGAGCTGTGTTGGCAGAAAAGGGAAAAGTTTACCTCAAAGACTCATTTTAAAAATCCTAAGGCAGCTTGGGTTGGTGGCAGCATTAAACCAAAAGAAGACTGAAGCAGTGTTCACTCTACCATTACACACCTCTAACATCATATCGCTACCATACTATTGTCCAGTAGTGTGATATTACATATAATCCTTTACAGTGGTGTTCAGCTGTGGGATACTTGGTGTTAGATAACTACGCATTTCGTTTTATTGGTGGCAAGCGGCATGATTTATAATAAGATATAACTTCGCACTTCTCTATAATTGGTGCCAGTGGCGAGATTGATATTGTACACTTCTTTATACCATTACTTCTCAATATACCCTATGCATATATATCAGTATATGCAAATTTTATGCAAATTACAGTCTTCTTGATGCTGCATTCCCTCTATTTGGCAGCCAAGTAAGAGTCCACTCAGTCCTGCCTAATGGTGATGTTCCATGTTGCCACTGCTACATCCAATTCTTGTCCTTAGTAGGCCAGCAACAGAACAATAAAGAAGCAGAAATTAAGAGAGATTGTATTGCTATTTTCTTCAAGTTTCTGATGCTGATATATATATATTTAAAAATAGGAGGCTTTGAACAGTTGCCTTACTGTAGCTCACATCCCTCTGCAATTGGAGATGCCGAAAACACTGTTTTTTCCGCAGGCTGCCAACGATGATGGCCACGCAGGAGAGGAAGAGCACCAAGCCAATCACAACCCCAGCTACCAGCACAGACGAATCTGGCATGCTCTCGCAGCCAATGACTGCCGTGTAATGGGTAAACACGTTGATGGGGCTGGTTTTGTTTAGATGGATTTCTGCAGAAGAGAGAATAAGACAAATTAAAATAATTCAAATGATAATTCATATACTGCAGGCAAACTTGCTCTAAGGGGCAACTGTTAGATACAACTTGGAAAAATTACTTTCTTCAACTAGAGCTCTCAAAAACTGCTTAGACATTGACTGACAAGGTTGTGACAACGTTGTGTTCCGCACATTTGGAATCAGGTGTCAGGGCCCATCCCTCCTGGTCTTAAGAAGAAGAAAAAACTTAAGACCTGGCTTTTTACACAGGCGTTTGGTGAATAGGGAATTATGGATTTAGACTTTAACAGACTATGGATTTTGGAAAATGATTATGCATATGGATAAGTATGAGACCATGACTCGGCATTTTATATGGTTTTTAATCTGTTTCATTGATTGTGTGTTTTAATTGCTTGTGTGTTTGGATTTTTTAATACTTTGATGGGATGTATTTTAGTGCTATGTTTGTGCGGCATTGAATTTTGCCGGATTTTGTAAGCTGTCTTGAGTCCCCTCCGGGGTGAGAAAGGCAGAGTAGAAATGAAGTAAATAAATAAACGTTACAATCATTTATTCATGAAACAAAGTTTGTATGCACTGAACAATCAGAAGGCAAAGATATCCCAATCTCAACCACACATGGAAAATTTTCAAATTTTGGAGAATTTCAGATTTCAGGTTAACAGATGCTCAATTTGTGTTTGCAGAATCATCTATATATATAAAAATGCTCTGTGCGTAATGAGTACCTTAAAAACAGAAGAGCCAATGAACGAAATCACACAAAATTTAGCAACAAAATGTCTCACAACAGAAGGAGTGACCATCACTCAAATATTATGATTTTGTCATTTGGGAGTTGTAGTTGCTGAGATTTATAGTTCACCAATAATCAAAGAGCATTCTGAACCCCACCAACGACGGAATTGAACCGTCTTAAAGCTCTTGTAGGAGATGCCTTTGGAGAGGTAAGTTGGACCAGAACCATTAGGGCTTTATAGGCCAAAGCGAGCACATTGAATTAGGTCCAGTAGACAATTGGCAGCCAGTGGAGCTTACGCAACAAGGGAGTTGTGTGCTCCCTGTACACCACTCCAGTTAGAAATCTGGCTGCCGCCCGTTGGAGTATTTGAAGCTTCCGAGCAGTCTTCAAAGGCAGCCCCATGAAGAGTGCATTGCAGTAATCTATTTGAGATGTAACAAGAGCATGGACCACTGTGGGTTAGACTTGAGTTACATCACCAAGATGTTTCATTAAGTACATATATATAAATACAGATATTTCAAAATCCAAAACACCTTTGGCTCCATTTCTGGTAAGAGATTTTCAACCTGTATATCAACATACGTGTGCATGTTAGCGGGAGGCTCCAACTGATATCAAACCTATTATTGTGATGAGATTTTGCATAATTCACAAATTAATTTAAGAGGAAACCCACTTTACAATAGGGAGGTGCAAATAAATTCTATTATTATGTTTTCTCATGCTGTATGGACGTGCTATAAGAAGTTGCTCCTAATTAATCTCTTCCCAGTGACTCATAATCCCACAGAAGGTGCACGTTTCCTTGGAAAAGTTCTATTTTATCAGATATATGATTAACCCCAAAACTCATCTGTCAAAGAAAAATAAAATCTACGCAACTGTTAGAAAAGAAAGGGGTTGCAATGGCTGCAAATTGAATGAAAGGGGAAGGGTAATATATTAATTCATGAGCCTTGTCGTAATGACTGCTGGCGATATTAGTTATGACCTCATTTCCTCTGATGGATCTGGAACTGAATGGCATTTAAACTGCTCCAGTGCAGATGAGATGGATATCATTGGTGAACAATGAGCTCCTTGGAATTTATCTCACACTACTATGCAATGATTTTGAAATTAGTCATCATTTATTGAGCTCTGCAGCAAAGGACACAGACTTGGAAGAAAGCTCACGCTGCATTTGCCGCATGGTCAGCTGTAAATAAATGCAATTCCTGAATGGAAGAGATATTGGAGTGGAAGAGGGAAAGATATTTTGCCTGGTGTAGGAACAATGATAATGTATCCATCCTTCACTATGAAGGAAGCAAAGCCAAAAACATACATTCATTACCCAAATTCTTCTGCATTAGCAAACCTAGTATAGGCTCATGGGCGAAAAGGATATTTCTAAGACTGGGGAATTTAGGGATTATTTCCCATCCCCAAACATCTCAAGGTTGGACTACTGTAATGCCCTCTACATAGGCCTGCCTTTATCGGTGATCTGAAAACTTAAAACAAGTGCAAAATGCTGCTGCTCGGCTTCTCGCAGGGGTCCCAGTGTGGTGTCATATCACTCCAATCTTGCAGCAAGGGCACTGGTTGCCGATTGAGCACCAGATTACCTTCAAAATGCTGATTCTTACCTTTAAGGCCTTATATGGCCTGGGGCCGGAGTACCTGAGGGATCGCCTCACCCCCTACCAACCCCTGAGATCGCTCTGTTCAGACGATCAGAATCTCCTTGAAGTTCCCAATTTTAGGACCTTTCACCTGATGTCTACTGGGCGTAGAACATTCACGGTGGTGGCTCCTTACCTGTGGAATGCCTTGCCAGCAGAAACACAAGCTCTCTGAGACTTACTATCTTTTCGTAGAGCTTGTAAAACTTATTTATTTAGGCTGGCATTTGAATCTTGTTGATTGAAAATGTTCTTTGATTTTAAATGTAATGTATCGCATATGTATATTGTAAACCGCTCCGAGCCTTCGGGAAGTGGCGGTATATAAAATTGATTAATAAATAAACAAACCGTGGTTTCTCAACAATATTTATTTATTTATTTCGGTTATTTCTACCCCGCCCTTCTCACCCCGGAGGGGACTCAGGGCGGCTTACAAAGGCACAATTCGATGCCGGCATCAACAAACAATAGAATAAAAACAATATAGCAGCAATTAAATAATTAACAATCAGTTTCTGCATTGCAACAATAAAACCAATAAACCACTAAAACCGATTTCACCTAATTAACGCTCACCGTTCACCATCTCATAGTCCAAGTTCCAATTCCACTTTGTCAGTCCTGTAAGTCCTAGTCGTCTGATTGTCCTTATCTAGTTGTCAGATTGCCCGAAAGCCTGGTCCTACAACCAGGCTTTTTAATTTCCTCCTGAAGGAGAGGAGGGATGTTGATGACCTAATTTCCCCTGGGAATGAGTTGCACAGGTGAGGGGCCACCACTGAGAAGGCCCTGCTCCTCGTCCCCACCAACCTCACTTGTGATAGCGGTGGGGTCGAGAGCAGGGCCTCCCCAGAAGATCTCAAACTCTGAGGTGGGACGTAGAGGGAGATGCGTTCGGACAGATACGCTGGACCGGAACCGTATAGGGTTTTGTAGGTTAAAACCAGCACCCTGAATTGTGCTCGGAACTGAATTAGCAGCCAGTGGAGCTGACACAACAGGGGGGTGGTGTGCTCCCTGTATGATGCTCCGGTGAGTAATCTGGCTGCCGCTCGCTGGACCAGTTGAAGTTTCTGATCAGTCTTCAAGGGCAACCCCACGTAGAGTGCGTTGCAGTAATCTATTCGGGATGTAACAAGAACGTGGACCACTGTGGCCAGATCTGGCTTCCCAAGGTACGGGCGCAACTGGTGCACAATACCAGACTGAGAGACACAACTTTCTATTTTCAGACCTGACAAAACAGTTTCTTTAAACATTTCTGCCATTATTGATGTGATGGCGCGAGTGGCGCCACCTATGTGTAGAACTGTTAGTTGCAAGATTTAAACTGTTGTATCATGCTTAACCCTGCCTTTTTATCCTGCTTATGTATAGTTGGATTGATTGGTTATTTATAGCTGACAATCAGTATTGTTTGGCTCCACCTCTTCCTGGAGGAGGGGAGTGCTTTCCTTTTTCATTCTGCCATCAGAGTTTCTATCAGATGGACATGAGTAAGAGACTTGGCTCTAAAAGCCCCTGATTAAATTACCTCTCAGCACCAATTCTGAGGTTTTTTTTACCCTTGAGACTTATGCTTCATGGTGACCAACCTGAACGACGTTGGAAGTCTCAAGCGCCTTCAAACCGGTTCTTTTGGCACCAGAGAAAGATCCTGAGTCTTCAAACATAGGCCATTTGAACTGGGGTTGTGGATTGCTCCGGTATTCACAGTCATTAAGGAAAGAGGAAACTTGGAAAAGCTTTTCAGCTTCAAACTCCTTGGACCCAGGACTAACTGAGACTGTAACGTATATTTTCCTTCACCCCTCCAAAGTTTTCAGCTCATTGCTTTAAAGAAATAACTCTTTGTGATTGATAAAACTTATTTTGAGTTATCTACAATGTTTGGGTCTTTGAGAGTTCCAGTTTCCTAAAGGAGAGCAAGAAGCAATCCCCTGGGGAAAGATGTCACGTCCATGCCCCTTTCACTAAGAGTTATAGCCCCCAGGCGCGACAGCACAATTGAAATCAGCTAGCATATCATGAGTTCAAGAAAGCCACCCTGGCCCATTTCAGTGGCCTAACAATATGTCTCGGCGATTTCCAGAGGAGCATTTGCACAGCTTCGGCTTGTGCGCCAGCTGCGCCCGTATCTTGGGAGGTCGGACTTGGCTACGGTAGTCCACGCTCTTGTCACATCCCGTATAGATTACTGCAACGCGCTCTACGTGGGGCTGCCCTTGAAGACTGCCCGGAAGCTTCAGATGGTCCAGCGCTCGGCAGCCAGGTTGCTAACGGGAGCGGCTCTCAGGGAGCATACCACCCCCCTGTTGAACCAGCTCCACTGGCTGCCAATTCGCTACCGGGCACAATTTAAGGTGTTGGCTTTAGCCTATAAAGCCCTACACGGTTCCGGCCCCACTTACCTCTCCGAACGCATCTCCTCCTACGAACCGGGAAGAGCGTTAAGATCTTCCGGGGAGGCCCTGCTCTCGGTTCCGCCGGCGTCACAAGTGCGGCTGGCGGGCACGAGAGACAGGGCCTTCTCGGTGGTGGCCCCTCGGCTATGGAATGCGCTACCGGTGGA